GGTGCTCCCCAGATCTGTGCCTCTATACTGCGGGTGTCTGCCGGGGAAGCTGTGTTTTTGCTGTCTCTCGCTCATGAAGGGCCGCACTAAGCTCCCTTCTCTCTGCCCGTGTGTGGTAGGTACATGCACCGCGCCGATTCTGTCTTCGTCTCGATGTGCACTCATCTCGTCTTGTTTTGCATGCTAGCTCCAGGTTTGCTATAGCGAGTGACTGCTACTGTGGGGCTGCTACGTCTTCCCCAGAGCAGATTAAACAGATTCTCACGGATTGGATGGAGACGTTGTGTAAAAAGACATATTTGGTGCCTTCACTTACACTTGAGTATCCACATAAATCTGCTCTGAGTGGTGCGGCTTAATGTGGCCTGCACATGTGTGTTGTCTATGTGCCTGAAAGCATGTTGAAGCATTCCACAACAGGGAAACTCCAGGTGACTTGTTGATTACTGATTATTGATCTCTATATACAAAAGTGAAAGCATATAGTATCAACGTATTCAGATGATGTTGCTTTTTAAGCCCAGCAGAACACCAGTTTTATCTTGCGTAGACATGGAAAATCCTCTAAATGACCCCACCGCTAGCACTGAGGATCACCAGGATTCATATAGTTAGGAACAGTGGCTGCAAGGAAGTTACCCCATTATGACAGTACATAGAAACAGGACAAAAGCAGTCCATTTTCATTATTGGAGGAGCTGTGCTGATTGCTCAAGTTTCATGTGCTATTTCAAGTTGTTTGCTACTCATGTAAAAGCTACTAGCTATATTATAACTAATTTGAATAAAAAGTTAATTTTTTGTCACTGAAGGTCAAAAAATTATGTTGGCCCTCGTTCCAGGTTGCTAATATATTTTTTATTAACAACTTATCACTGAAATCCAATATAAATCTAGCAGAAAATGGTACTAAATAATACCAGTTCCAAGAATTTAGACTAAAGAAGAGATTTTCTACCTGGAATAATAGACAACACATTCATTAGACAAAAAAAATCATGGATAAAGAATGTACAAGAATATAATTTGTTTTAAAACAGTCTGTGGCTAGTGGCTAACTCATAACAAGGAGATCCAGATTTAATTGTTTGGTGGAGCCATTCTATGTTGAATAGTTGCACCACAATCTAAAACAAGCGTAATAGACTAATGCTGCGGATAGAAAGTCCTGACCAAACTCAATCTCAATCTGGAGATTCTGGAGACAGGTCAGGTCAGCGGAGTACCCCCACAAACCCAAAGTCAAGTGCTATTTTCTTTTTCTCAAAAACATAACAACAAACCCATAGCTCAAAGACTCAATCCCAGTTCCAAACAGTAGGCTACATATTGCCATTGTGTCTTTGAGCATGACACATCATTCATCTCATTTGAATGTGTGAGTGAGGTATTGGTGATGGCTAGAAGTAGCTCATCACTTTCGAATATGAGAATGAATGAATAACAGTGCTTTGTAAGAGCTTGAAAAGTACTATACACAATAAACGATCATTTCTTACTTAATTCTCCCAAAACTATGACAGTTTTTTCACAGTATTGGCAGTTTATTGGTTGGCTTTTGGTGGGTTTAACAAGTTTAAGACTGGTGAATGTGCATGTTACTGCTCTAAAATCAAATATTGTTTAGTTATTACATGGCAACTCCACAGTGTATGCCCCTTAAATTAAAAGATACATATACTTGGCATTTTTATTCAAATGTAGTATAAATTGTTTACTCTGTTAGCTGACTCAAACCAGAGCCTACTGCTCTGGCAGCAGCTGGGGGGCACAGCCTTTTTGTCATCTTTGATTCAGATGGCTCTGATGGGTTGTCTAAAAGCTTTGAGCAGTCTTGTTTGCTGACACTGTCAGCAGCACATGTCTGTAATGTGTGTATAGAGTATGTATATATTGTATGGTAAAGTGAGAAGCATGTTCTCCAGAAGGCAGTTAGGTAGGAGCCTGGTTAACAGTTGGTGATCTCTCATACATGCAGTTCTATAGGTCTGACACATAGGACAGGTGGTGAAAGGCTGTTCAGAGCCTGCATTCATTCAGTGTGGGAGGATGAGAATACAAGTGAGAGTGGAAGCAAGACCAGTGTAATCAGACCTGTATGTTCATTACGCCTGTATTAGACTCTTGGTCGAGCACAGGTATGCCCTGTGCAGAGATTCACTCGACTAAAAGGACAGCAAGGCAAAGCACTGTCAAAGGTATCTAGGAACTGACCAAGTATCAGTCAAAAACTGCATTAAGTTCATTCATAAGACACAATAACTATACATAATGAGAAGCGTCTTCATATGGAAAATTCTTCATTTACTCCCAAAATTCCAATGAACTCCAAGCCTTCTCCTTTCCGTTGTTGTACAGCTGACTCTCTATTTGTAATAAAATAATTTGTCAATCAATAAACATTTTTGGTTGACTAAGACACAATTGACCAATTAGTTCACTTAATTAGGGGGCGGCAGTAGCTCAGTTGGTAGAGCATTCGCGCACTGATCTAAAGGTTGGCGGATCGAATCCAGCTCTCAACATAAACATCACAGGTTGAGCGGTCAGATCCACTGACCCACAGGTTGGCTGGTGTGATTCCAGTTCCCACAGATGAATGCTGTCGTTGTGTCCTTGGGCAAGACACTTAACCCACCTTGCCCACAGTGTCTGCGTACACTGGTGTGTGAATGTGTGTGTGAATGGGTGAGTGGTTCCTTGTTGTAAAGCGCTTTGAGTGCCTTGAAGGTGGAAAAGCGCTATAGAAAAATGTGACCATTTACCATTTACCAATTAGGGCATACAGCCCTAAACATTCATATGGATAAGTGTTTTGGTCGATTGTAAATGTTGACATGGCAGTGCTATGACAGACAACCCTATAGCACATGGGTTGAGTCAAACGTGCAGCATGTTGTTTAAAATGATGAGTGCGTGTGAGTAGGAGCATGCAGATTGTGGCGTTGAAGTGGCTCAGATGAGCTCTATCAGGTTGCTGGTGGCATAAATACTATAATTCTCAACTCAGGTATTTTCCTGTGAGTAGAGCTGAGTCGGGCGCAGCCTCAGGAGGTTCCCACTTGTTTGCATGTGAGTGCTGCAGGAGGCTGGAGGAGGCTAACGACCTGGAGCGCTTTGTGTAAAAGTGATCCAAAGTGTCTCTCTAAATTTAGCAAACTCACAGCTTCGATCTATATTTAGATTGCGGCCGCTTCAAGTGATATTTGTTTTTATGAAGACAGCTTAAGTTGTGGTAAGAGAACATGATTGTAGTAGTGGAATAGTGCAGGCACATCTGACTGTGTGGCTCACAGTCTCAGTGTGGCACATGTCGTGTGCTGGACACCTCTCTGTTAGAAATGGTGACCAGGAGAATGTTGGCATGTGGACTGTTTGTTAGGGATCTGCCACCCCCTGCAGATGTTGTCATGGAAACACTCCTCTGGGGTGCTCTCTCTGTTTCACACAATGCAGTATTAAGATGTTAATGCTAATACTACTCTCAGTGCTGGAAAACCACAGTTTAGGCTTCCATATGACGCCCACGCTTACATAATGCTGAGTGGAAAGGGGATGCCACCTACGGTATATGATCACCATGGAAATCATCGTCAGAGATGGTTATATGAACAGCATGCAATATTCATTTTGAATGAATTACATTCATTAATACCTATAATACATTCAGTATCAGTATGAATAAAAAAGTCATTCCTTATGAAAGCCACACAGCGACAGTGAGTGGCAATATGAGTGGCAATATGGTTGAATTTTCTTGCCCAGAGATACAAAGGAAGGAAGAAATATAGTTCACTATTTAAATATATGTTCCACCAATTTGCAACCCAGATAGAACATGTGGCTATAGAAACTGAGCTGAGGATGCAAGTGATAAAAACAACTTCTCACATATATGTAATTACCACAGTGGTGTTAGCCAAAGCGGTTACCAGAACGACAGGAAAAAATAGCATTCAGCTTCACAATTTTTTCAGTTGAGTTTCTAAAGAATTTTCTTTGGATATGTGAACACCGAATAATATCCACTTCATTAAATACTCTTCAACCATCAAAAGGATATGCATTGATTTAAACAAATAAGAACCAGCCACATGACCAGCAGGGTTCAGAAATAGGAATCATATTGTGTTGCATACTACAGGCAAATAATGTAAATTTAAAGTGCAACTTTCAATTATTTGCACAAGTTCCAAACAAAGAAGGAAAAGTTAAAGTCTGTTCACCCACCATTCTGCTGGGTGAACTGTACAAACAGTGAACCCATAATATTGCTTTCACTGAATGTGCAAAGTATGCATGTAAGTAAGTATAGACTACATGAGACATTCAACTTTCTTAGCAGGTCCCGTGTACTGTACTTCTCATGCCACTGCTACAAAGTGAAAGCTCTGCAGCCTCATGTCTGCTGCCTCTCTCTAGAAAACACATCAGCTGGGACATCCCTAGTTCTCTAAAAGGTTGTGTGGATAGAAAAAAATGCTGAATTTGGAGCAGTTTCCCTACTCGATTTTACGCTGACATCACTGAGAACGCCGCAGTTGGCCCTGAGATGAATGCACAATATTTAAATCCATCCTACCTGGTTCTCTCACTCCACCCAGTGGGCTCTGAATGTCAGCACAACACAGAGCAGCAGCAGAGCCATCTGATGAAGGTAGAAAAAAATAGTCAAGAAATGTTACATTTATGATTTATCATTTTTAATAATAATATTAAAGACTAGGCTAATATAGGTTATTAGGACAATCTCAAATATCATCAGCCCTGTGTTTGATCAGCTAACCCTTCCTGACCACTTATTATGCTAAAATGCTGCAGTGTGGTTCTGCACTTTGCAGCACATAAAACAAAAACATTGCACTTTATGTTTATACACATTTAATAATAGGTTTGTGGTATTTAATTATAAATCAAATTCTACTTTTAGTATTACCCATTCAAATCATTTTTGCCATTTTTATGCAGCCACATATATAACATATATACATACATAAGCATATGTTTACCAGCTTTATTGTGTATTTAGGAATATGAAAAGATGACCATTTTCAAAGTTGAACATTTTCAGCATGTTAGCAATGCCATGTGTAATGGCATTGCTACTCCAGAGACAAGACAACTTGCGTAAATAAACAGGCATACGTAGTGATGAACGACAGAGTTTTAACTCAGTAGGCACAGCTTCTTTCTGTCTTGAAGTTCAGCACCTTGGACAGCACCATCACAGTTCAGCTCCAACAGGGGGCGTCCTAGACACACAGCAACAAGAGACAGCAGTGGAAGCGGATAGCGCGACTAGATTTAAATAGTTCTCCACTTTCTTCTCCCTTGACTTTTAACTCCGGTGGTTGACTAAACTTTATATTAACTATATATACAATATATCATATACAAATGTATATGCTTTGACTGGTTTCTCTGAGTTTGGCCCGGGAAAAAAAACAAAAGTTTACGTCCTAACTGGAAGAAGAGAGTGTGGAGAGAGAGGAGAGAGGGGAGAGTGAGAGAGAAAGGAGAGGGGATGGAGCACATTGTGAGTAATGTTGCCAGTGTAGCGTCGAAGGGCAATATGGCAATGTATGGCGGCACACGACTGTAAAAGATGCATGATTTTAAACGAAGCATAGGCATAGCTTTTCCTAAACCTGCTGCTCGTACCTCTCCGCTCCATCGGACATCTCTCCCGCTCTCCACCGCCCGTATCACTGACCGAGTCCACCCCCTCCCTGGACTGCTGCTTTCCCGGGTGTCCTTTGATTTGCTTTGACCGGCGAGTCTCGTGGTGTGACCGAGGACGAAGCGGTGGTCTGGTGCTCTCTTTTTAGCTTGGTACCGATGTCTCTGCCCATAAAGAACTTGAAGTGCCTCTCTCCGGTCATGTGCCAATGCAAGCTCATCTGCAGCAACCGAACACTGTCGCTGATGTTCGGATGTAAGGTAAGCGGAACCAGCGGAGCGTGAATGTGTATTGTAAATGTGTAGAAGGCAAGCGGCCCATGTGACAGTTTTGGCGCCTTTAGCCTTCCTGATGTTGCTTTGAGCCGCGCTTTTGTAATTACACATCGTCATTAGCCTAATCGCTTCCACCTGGCTTGCTCTCTTGTCCTTCTGCTCAGGTTGTGGCTTATTCACAGCAAAGCGTCGCTCGGTCGCTCTAAATCACGCTGATTTACTGAATGTGTGCGTGGCTCCTTTCCATTTACACTCTCCAGGTGCTTTGGCAAGATGGTTTGGCTATGTTATGTAGCAATAGCATTGGTGTCCAGTCCACGCTGCTCGGTGTGAGGCTGTGAGCATATGGCGGTCAGATATTCTAGGTTACAGGCTTGGGTGCTTACATGTTGTTTTGCATTCTGCATGCTATGCTTTTGACCTTGGGAAAGGCACTTTTCCCTCTGGAAGGCCTCTTACATATTAGATAAACACTGCACTGCAATGGAGGCTAATCCTCAAATCAGGTAATATGAAGAAGGGCAATGCAGCATTAGACCTAAACCTCAAAGGTAATAACCATTGTCCTAACTATTGCCAAACCCTGGACATGTTATTTTTCAAGCATAATGCAGGATCTTAGACATGTCTTGATTTGGGGATTCATAGAACTTGACCTATAGGTTATTTATGGACACCAATATAGGAAAAGATCTAGATGATGCTGATAGATGTAAATGCAATTGTCTTTACAGTCACACAGTTGTGTGTTTGGATTATACATTGTCTCTGCTGTCAATCTCACACTTGAAAATGCTGTTGTTTAGCTCATTACTCACTGACTAGACAGATTTCTATATTTAAGTGCTGCTGGTGAAGTCATGTGTGGGTTTGAGTGGTTGCTGGTGGTCCTGCTGAGCTGAGCACAGAGTTGTACTACAGCTCCCTGTTGCTAATGTCCTGTGTGTGCCTACACCACACCAGCTCCTGGCACTTACTGTATCTTCCTCCAGATCTCCATATGACACACAATGGCTTCCTTGTCAAGGATATCTTCAAATAGTCCACCCCCACATACCAGTCGCTTTACATTCATCACGACTAACAGAAATGTCAACCCACTGCAAATATTTACTTAGAGGATGTCACAAATGAATTATAGGCACTGCTGCTGACATGGCAGTGTGAAAAGTAATGGATGAGCAACTCTAGTTATAAAGTTGACCTGTCAGAGAGAATTCACAATGTAAATCTTATTGAACTATCTTCTTTTCTTTAGGATAGTTTGCATCATTCACAGCCAGTAAAGATGAACACCAGAGGCACAAAAGAGTACAGAGATACACTTTCATGTATTTTTGTTTTTAGTAAATGTCCACTCATGTAAAGCTTCAGTGTGCTATTATTTAATAAGGCCTTAAGTCTTTCTCTCGTAAAGCCTTTATTAAATGGATCTTTATGGACACATTTAGAAGAAGTGCTCTTCGATGTTCTCTTTATACTAAGCGCTCATCTATGGCCTCACTACGTTTAATGAGGCCTCTCTTAAGTTTCCCCTTACGCTCCGCTACCCTGTGCCTACATATTGACGGATGTGTAAAGTTGCAGAGGGGCTGTGCTTTAAAAGGAGAATTGAGCAATAATGTAATTAATGATTTATGGCTCTGAGATCAGTGAGCCCTCCTCTCACTGTCTGGGTGGGTGACCTCAGCCTTGGGATTGATCCGCAGACGTCTTTACTGGAAAAAGAATAGGAAGCCGAGCCCACTGTCAGCTGCTCCTTCAGATGAGCAGTAGTGCAGAAAATACTGAAGAAGGTGACATTAAAGTTGGGGCATTGCATTTCCACGCTGAGTGATTCTTAGATGAAGCTCTGGGTGTTTTAAGAAGTGCTTTCTTTGTTTTTCCACTCCATTTTTATTTATTTGTTTATTTGACAGGGAGATTGCTGTTCAACATTGCCACCAAATAAGTGACCAATGCTAGGCTAATTTGCTAATCCCTGAAACAAAAACAGATAGAAACAGGTCAATGCAATCAAAATGTAAATCCATGCTATTGTGTTATGTTAATAATTGGAAACAATGCAACTGTAATAGGCCACCCCACAATAATAAAGGATGAGCTAATTTATTCTGTATACATGGACTTAGTGCTGGCAGAGGGACACGTGTTGCTATTGTGATGTTTATGGTTACTACAGTTAGTGAAAGCCACAGTTAAATGTGTTCTCTATATCTATACCTTTAAATGGCCCATATTACGTGATTTTCTGATCTATGTTAAAATGTTGTTTACTCATCACAAACATACCTGGAGTTGTGTTTTGTTTCATTCATACATGTTTAACACACAAACCCTGCATATTTAGTTCTTTCAAACACTCCATTCCACCTTGTCATGTCATGTCATGTAGTAATACAGGAAGTGCTCCAATGTGATTTAAAACCTCATACACCTTCATTAAAATCATTTAGATAATGCTAGCTCTGCAATTGCTCATCTTTACTGAACAAAGGGTGAAAGACAGCTGTTTACTTGTAAACTAACACTCCATGACTTCACAAGGTGGAACAAAACTTTGGAGACATAGACAGGCTAATAATAAAAGACTACTCAAACACGTGTGAATGAAAGAAAACGCAACTCCAGGTATGTTTTAGATTAGGTAACAGCATTATAACAACAACAAACTTTTGAGAAAGATAAATAGCAGTAAACTTAAAATGTGCCTACATGTATTTTGTTTTGCAAATGTCACTACCAGCAAAATTCAGTCTGCATATCATTTATCAGGAAGGGTTGCCTAGTTACAGTGTGCCATTATAAACTGTGAGGTGGGCACATCAACACTGCAGCTGACACCAGTGGATCGGTTTAAAATCAATAGAGGTGTGTTATGTTCAAAAGAGGAGTCAGATTACACGCATCCATAATCACTGAGCTGTTTCTCTGACCAAAAGGCTCAACAGAACAGCTCACCAGTTCACACCACATAAGGGTTTCTAGATTTTGAGTCCATTTCCCTGTACTGTTGGCAATCATTTGTGTAAAATACATATCATTTGTAAAATGCTGACATGCTAAAATGAACTGTCGAACGATATGGGTCTTTTCATGGATGCCGATACCGATTGTTTAGAATCTAGATGGCCAATAAGATCTGCAGATATTTTTGGGCTGATATGTAGAGCTGATTTTCTTATTTTCACTGAAGTAATGCAATTTTCCAGTGTAATTTTAATTTACGACAAACTTACCTTACAGTCCCTTTTTTTGCCACAAATCTTCAAGAGTCACATTTTAAGCAGTTATCTATTTGCATTAAAGTGTTCAAATAAACCTTTATGTGTACCCTTTAGGTAGCAGGTGGGCAAAAACAAAGTATCGGCCTGGAGATTTAAGGCCAATAGCTCATGCGCAAAAAAGTCCAAATATCGGTCAATATCTCTAACATTCTGTATCTGCCCCAAGTCTTGTGTAGTGTTGGGTGATTGTTATTGGAGATTTGCTGATTCAAAATGTCTTGTACTGAATGTTCATCAACTTCTGGCTGTGAAACTAACAGAAAATATATTTTGCTTTTCCCTATTTCAGCGCAAAGGGGAACATGTTATGGACGTGTGGCAATAGTTTTATGGTATCATATGTTTCAAACACTGACCTAAGGGGTTTTGTAATAGTAGATTCATCTGTCACAAATTTTTCTGAGTACATGTATGTAGCACTTACCAAGAAAATACAACTAAATATCAATAATAAGCACTGGACAAACATTTGAGAGAGGCGCTGGGGGGCTTGGCAGGGGTTAATGACACAAGCCCTGGTACAAGTGCAACATACAGAAAAATGGAAACTCAGCATAAAAGGTGCACGCTTGTGTGAGCAGCGGGGGAGGGTCTAACCACCACCATGCTGTGGAAGAGCAAAAATAAATAGCATTTGTGTTTGTTTTCTAATAAATCAAAAGTGAAAGTGTTAAGACAGGTATCAGGACACTTCTTCACTGTCGGGGCAGTAATAACTCTCAGCGCTGCAGTGTTTAGACATAAAGAGAATACAATATGTCAGTGTAATTAATCACCTATTTCTGCTCATCTTTCTTGTCTATTTGACAATTAAGGTAAACAATAGTCAGACATCTTCTAGGCAAAATGGCTCTTCCATATTAACCACTATAGCAACAAGACTACAATATCTGTTAAAATTAGTCACTATAAGACAGTGCTATTGAATCTTGTCAAGCATCAAACAATAAGTTAAAGCACCTGACAAGTTTGCCATGAAGTAATAAATAAATGTTTACAACACATTTTAGATGTAACAATATATCTATATGTAAAGTGTTTTCATCTGCAATCTTCTTTGCCTAAATACATTGTTTTGTTGCAGCAGCAGCATGTTTAAACAGAAAGAACTTCATTGACCATGGGCTCAATTTTTGTGGAGAAATGGCTTAAGCATATTTTAAAGTAATCCTACATAATGTAACAGTAATAACATTATAGGTATACAGATAGGGGCATTTTACCACACTTCATTATCGTTATGATCAGTGTGAGATCTGATTAGTGTAACTACTAAAATGTGTGTATAATGTATTTGTGAGGTTGTGCTGTGAACATTCTCAGGGAATTAAAAGGGTAAAATCTGCAGCAGCAACATTATATAGAGAGATCCTGTACAATGCAGAAGCAGCAAGGTATTTGATATAGTACAGCGTTTTGAAGTACTCACTGTCTGTAATGTAAGATCGTGTTTTTCTTATTTGATGTAGTGACCTGTTTAGATCACTGCCTGTAACAGCTGAGAAATTAGTTGATTTTGAGGCATTTGAGGTTTGTCGACCTCTTTACATAAATCCACTCTTTTCACCAGAGACGGTCTTGTGCTGCATCGAGCTGAGAGCTCTGTGAAGCTGTGTGTTGGAGCTTTTGTAAATTAGCTGGTATTAGCACTGCTGAAATACTGACTGTGCAGTGTGCATAGTATGGGTGATACTGACAAAATTAATATCTTGATTTTCTTTGTGGATGATCTTATATGAACAATAGTATGGCAGCCCGTCAGACATGTGCTAAATGTTTTGGTTAACATCATGCATTGCTTTTAATTAACCAAAGATACAGTGCAGAATGTTGCTTCATATCCTTTGGACAATTGTGAAGTTTCTGTTCTTTTTAAACAATTTTATCTGTTTTATATTCTAATTTTGCATATTTCTGCCACAATTGTGACATTAGCCATTTTTATACATCTCCCACCCCACACATCTTAAAGAGAAATCTCAGCATTTTGGTAGTTCTGCTAATCTTGTGTCTTTAAAGCCACTTTGCCAGTTGTTTTCTCAATTTGCATATTAGTTATGAACAGAATATTAAAATGCTACTTATGTAATCAGACTGTCTACCACCAGTGGCTGTCCTAAATTCTGGACTGAACCTGCCCAACACTTTTAATATGTTCTGTGGAGCATTGTGTCCCTTTGTGAATATAAAGTGGCCTATTATTCCTGCATTAGGACTTCCACTGGTCCAGGACACCAGGAGACATGACCATGACAATCTAAGTATGCAATGGCACAATACACTGACTTTCCTCTCGAATGCAGCAGCAATATTTTGGTGGTAGTTTTTGGTTGGCAGCAGTGATTGTGTGATTCAGTTCAAATGAGAGGAGCTCTTAGGAATTGTTTGAGTGGAAATCAGAGGCGCTATTTTTATTTAGCTTTATACACAATACTGTAGTGTTGTCACAGTACAAAAACTCAAGTTTGATACTTACAAATACAGGCAATACAGTTTTTGACACCACATTGGTATTTTAACAAACCTCTTTTTCTTCTTACAACAGATTGTCATTTTCAACACAATATACCTGTATTTTCTTTATGTTACAGTTTGGTCTTCCTAGTTCAGGTAAATCTCAAGATTATTCCAAAACTGCAGAAAATTTTGTCACATTTTGCCCTGTTTTTGTCATTTTTCCATTGCTGATATTTGAGTCCTGATACTAGTTTTAGTATCTGATTATACTTTTGACTACACTTATACATAATAATTAAACAATATTATCAACACGTGCAGAGCTATTACACCTTTATTTTTAATTTAGCTTTATATATAGTGACACAACAATGTTATTTTGATGTTTTATGTTTTTCACATTATTGGCAACGTCATGATCTCTCCATGTTGTTCTTGAGCATAAGAATGCGTGGTGCAAGGTTAGCCTCTGTTAATGCCCTGATCATTGATTATCATATATTGAGTTCCACAGTGAAGTGAGGCCATGTAGATCTAAAACCCAGCAGCAGCACAGGTAGTGTGTGGATATATGAGATAACAGCGTTATAAAAACAGAGAATAAAGCTGTGTCTCTGTTCACCTGCATTAGTATAAATTTGGAGAAAATAACAGGCCAGAGGAACTGGGCTTGTTATGCTGCTTCCATTACATAATACAAAGTCATTTATATGCTGCAGCTTGATCCTGTAACTGTAAACTGGAGTTAGAGCACTGTAGATAGCATTGACATGAGTGGTGCAGTGAGTGAACTCATTTAGCAGCGTTGCATTGTAACATGTGCACTGTGGGCGAGATCACAAGCTGTGGAGAGCCATTTGTATCAACCTTTGCTGCTGCATATTTCAGCTCATTATGTTATGTTAGTACCATAAAGCCTGGAAACCCCTCAGGCTTTGTGTTAGTGCTTTTCTGGCCCAAATGAACCATTAGAAGAGTTTTAATTGCTGCCAGCTGCTTTATTGAAAATAAGAATAAGCATTAGACGTGTAATAATCTTTAATGTAATTTTTAAACAGATTTTACTGAATTATACATTCAGTAAGTGGTGGGAGGGAGTATGAAGTAAGTGAATTTATATAAAAAATACTATATAATATAATTAAGTACAGAATAAATTGATTAGTTAGATGTTTTCATGATTTACTGAATATGAATTGTGTATTGTTTATTCATTGTCATATTTTTTATGTCTCTTTAATACCCTCCCCGCCCACAGAAAATGTTGATGAATGAACAGATTTTGGCTGTGAGGAGGTAGTGAGTGTAATGGCCAGAGCCCACCTGAAGCTGCACTCAAACAGATGGTGTGCCTCAGGAGCAGGACCAGCCTGCTGGTGCTCACACAAGGACAGACCCAGTTTAAGTTAAACCTCTAGACATTCAGATAGTGTGTTTGATAGGGGTTTTGAAAGTACTGATAATTGTGATCTTACGCTGTGACAATATGCTTTTTGGATAGTGTCATAGTGTGGTGCAGTGCTTATCCGTTTAATGCAAATCTATGCTAAAACCCAGACATTTTTTTCCCACTCACTTCTCCTATTAGTCAGCCTCATGTTGGGAGTGAAGGACAGGTGGATTTAACCAATCACAGTGAAGTGTGAATTCTCAGAAGAAAGAATATTAGTTCCCTTTTAATGGAATTCAAAAAGATATAAATTCTATCAATCGTGATAAATAAAAAATCTTGCCTCTTTGGGAATGTCAACCACACCTATTTGAAAAATGGCATTGTGAATTTGCAGCCTTTTACATGAATACATCAATATTCTAATTTTGCATATCTCTTAAACAACAGTTTCAGTATAATTTATTTCTTTTATAATAAGGGCAAAATAAATTACTCTTATTAATGTGAATCCTCTGTCCTCTACACTGTGCTGCTGTGTCTCTGTTTATTGATGTTCTTTTCTTTTGTCATTTTGGTCCTATCCCTCCCCCTCTCTCCAGAATCTTGCTTTCTCTCTTGTCTTTATGCTGTCTCAGTGTAATATGATCCAGGACCAACGCTGGCAGCCCCAACTGTGGCTCTGCATCCCTGCTCTGGTTGCTAGGCAGCGAGAGGATCAGTGATGCACCCCTCCATCCCCATCCTGCACTCCTCTGTCTGCCCCTCTGTCTGTCTGCCAAATAAATGAGAAGAGAGGACAGGCACGGGGACTAGACTTTAGACAAAATGTACATGCTTTTCCAAATATAAACATTTTGTGACTGTGAGTGTTTGAACATAAGATATTAAGCCTGTCCACCTTCTCATGTGTTTGGATGGGAAGGCTACGAGTGCCTTGAGCCCTACAGAAATCACAATTTGAGATGGTGTAATTCATTCTATATTTCATTCAAAAGCTGCAATTATATAGAATGTTTTCTGCAAATAACAAAATATACTGTGTTTCTGTAGTCAAATATTATTAACTTTGTAGTTCTGACTTATGTTCTGAAATGCATGGGATTCTTGTATTATTCTTGTACTTCTTGTACAGTTCAGACTTCAGACTTCTCTAAAATGTTTATGCTCTTTGATTTGTTTACAATGCACACTGTGAACAGAATCCTACTTGTTAAAAATATATATCACAAAACTAATCACAATCATAATACATACCAATGGCAGAGATAAGGGATGTGAGGTGAGGGATATGGGCAGGGAGTGAGGTAATGAAGAACTACAAGGCCATGATCTGATTCTGTGGAGCTGCTGTGACTCAGAGCTTTGGTGGAGGACACTTTGATGACACACAATGGCCCCATTTTCAGCCCTCTGTTTCTATGATGTCCTCAGTTTGCGCTTGTAGGCGTCACTCTGCGTGTTATGTGTTATGTGATGTACAAGATGACTTTTCAGAGCTTTTAACCATGTTATAGTTGTTTCCCCTCACTATTTACTCACCCGAAGTTGTACTTGGAGTGACTCATGCATGTTTGAGCAATCTTATTTTCAAGGCGCCATTTTGCTTATCAGCTCCTGTTTTCACCGCCACCGGTATACGCCCACTGCTCTGTACTTCATTCTCAAATTTTATTTTAGTAATACATGTAGGATTCATAGTCATGCAGAGATTCGTAGTCATTTTGGTACTAATGAAAATCTGTGGTTTACTTGTGATCTACAGCTATCAGTTGGAGGGGCTGACATCTTCATGGCTCTTTGTTGTGATGACGTTTACAGCAACATCAGCTCCCATCAGTCATTACAGTTTCTAATGCAGCACTCAGTGGATTTGTTATTAAAGGATGTTATAATGTTTCCTCATAAAACATACCTTTTATTCATTGCATATTTAGGCTGAGTTCTTCTCTCAAAACACTCTGTTCCACCTTGTGATGTCATGTGGTAATACAGGAAGTGCTCACCTGTGTTTTTAAACCCCATACACTGTCACAATAATCATTTGGATGACTTTAGCTATGGAATTGCCTATCTCTACTGAACAAAAGGTAAAGGGTAGCTGTTTAACTTGTTTAACTAACTCAAGTTTAACTTGAAAACTACTGCTTCATGACATCACAAGGTGGAACAGAGAATTTTGAGCTTTGGAGATGTAAACAGACTAATAATAAAGTGTTACTCAAATGTGTGAATGAAACAAAACATAACTCCAGATATGTTTTTGAGGAAGTAGCAGCATTACAACATGGCTAAAAGTCAGAGTCAGTTTGACGTAATATAGGATCAGGGCAAGAAGCCTCACATGCTCACCCCCTCTAATATAGGTTAATAGGAAGAGGGTTGAGGGCAGACTCCTTTATCGTCTCGTCGACTCCCTTGGTCCAATCAGTCAATAAATAAAATGTATGTCAATGTAATGTCCCCAAATGGCATAAAATCCTAACATGGATGTTTGTGTTTGTGTTTGTGCAGAAGTACCGGTATCAGGATGAGGAGACGCCCCCCTTGGAGCACAGTCCAGCTCATCTGGCTCCAGGGAAAAGTGCCGAAATGCTTCATATGAGCGACAAGAACCTCGCCGCCATGGAGGCCATCCACGGCTACACTCCTCACACACACATCTCTCCTGTCAAGGTACGCTGCCTGCCAACACACTGTACATCAGTCAATCAATAATGACACAATTCAAGCGGCCTGTACTCCGGCAGCTGTCAGCACCTCGCTCTAGTCACTGTATCAGGCCCAACACAAACAAGAGCTGCTTCAGAGCTGAATGGACTACTGCATTATGTGGTGGGTGTTGCACATCATTATACACTTGTATCCTTAGCGGCACACTGTGTCCTTAATGGCTCTGACTTTAATCGTGTTTCTGACCTTCTGTGAAATCAATTGGATTCAGTATAGCAGCAATTTACTGTAATTGCTGTGGTTGGTTCTTTTGCTTGACTGCGAAATAGACCATAATGTGTAAGTACAAACAACAAGCCTGTCTCATTATTAATTAGGCTGTTTTTATAATCCAAGAGTTTATTCACAATGCAATCAGAAGGTACATACTCTCTAAGTATGTTGCTGCTAGATTTTGATCATTTCTAACTACCAATATGAAGAACTCTTGCTACTGTCGAGGCTCTGCTGAAAACAATGTTAGTATTAGTACTCGAAGTTGTATTAGAGTGATTCATGCACATTTGATAGTGGCACTTTGTTGTGATGACATTTATGGCAGTGTTTTCCATTGGGCCTGCAATTTTCCAACCTGGAAATCAACAGACTTGTTTCTTTTATTAAGTCATTTCAGATCAATATTGCAATTTAAAATAATCCATGGCTGTTATTGATTATAACTATATTGCAAACAAAAACACAAAAATATTATTTAAAAATGTTTTTCCTGCCATTATTGTATTATTGTGATTTATATTGTTATGTCCACTTGTTATATCATGATAAAAAATGTAAGGCCCTCCCTCTAACAGCTAAAATCGGGTGTAATGTGTTTAGTAGCAGCAGACCTCCCTGACAGACAGTGCTGAGGCCTCTGTAGGCTCAGATCCAGCTGACATCAGGAGCAACATGATCACACTTACTTAGTGCACTGCTTTAGTGATGACAGACTGTAGCTGCACTGTTACACTGTACATTTAGCACATGCGTGAAATCATTTTCTTATTTATTTACTTGCTGTCTATCTGTATTTAGTCTAAATTCACCTAATTGTTATTAGTTATCACAATACTTAGTAAAGTTGCTGTAATTTTTGATAATATTTGTTCTGGTCTCGATATACATGATCTAGTAAATGTTTTAATCACAGGGCAAAATAAGAAGTTTGAGTGATAATGACGGACCTCCAGTGACCCCCCTGACCTGGGTCCTAGTGGAGTTTGGTATTAGCCAGCACACATGGGACACTTTGTAATTCTCATCAGTGCTTGATGATAACATTTTGTCATAGTCATTGGCTTCAATGACACACCAATATCCCTTTCTTCTCCCCATACCTGCGTATGCAAATCAAATATGAACAAAACCTGGATTACAAAACACAAGACATTGACTTTTGACGTAAAGTACTGTGTTAAATTGGTACATCTTTAGCCAGTGTAAAATATTATTTAATTTAATTAGTATAACCTGTCAACTACTACTACAGTTGACTTGTGCTTGCTAATTCAAAACTGAGGAACAGCACAAAGTAAGTGAAGTTTGCCTTGCAGTTGCCTAGTTGCTCAGGGTGAGTGGTTATTTTCACTGTATTGTGTATAATGTAGTCCACAAGCAGTATGCCCCCTGCCATTTTCCTAGTTCCATCCTACTTCCTGCTTCCTACCTGCTCCAACAGTCTGTGCCTCCATGTTATTTGGCATAATCAGCCTTTAGTGCCTTCAGCTTCAGAGTCAATAATAGCATGGCCCAGTGTGTTTCTATATTGGGCCGTGTAGGAGCACTGATAGCATCTGCAGATACAAGGAAGTGCACTAATCCACCTCCAGGTACACTGTGAACAAGCAGCAGATAGTAGGTCCATGTTCAGACTTTACCTCTGCTTTCTAATGGAGAGGGGTGCACTGCAGGGATGGACAGGTGTCTGTGTGTGTGTCAAGTGTGTGTGGCTACAGACTTGAGAAGTGCAGCTTTATGATTGTAAAAGTTTTAAAACATGGCAAGGGGAATTACTAGTGTACTATTAGGGCTGCACAGTGTATCGTAATCAAATTGCAACTGGAGTTGACGCTAAATTTCTATCTTCACAAAGGCTGCAGTCAAATTCAGAAACAGAACGTCCTCTGCAAAGAACAAAATATTTTGTCTTTTTATAGAAAAATCTTGTACCTCTGGTTTAAACCTTTAATATGTTCTGAAATGCATGGGATTCTTACATTGGTTTATCAGGTTATATTTCACTCTTCACTGTTAATGCCCCCGGAGTCGTATACAACGTGCAGTTTTTAAACATATATTACAAATCTAATCGCAATGCAATAATTATATTTCACTGACATTTTATTCCACTTTCCCCCAAAATGTTAACCACATCTTATGTTTAATGTGCACTTCTTTGTGGGCAGATAGTATATGTGGGAAAAGTACCAAAAAAGAAAAATTGGATTAGTATATGTAAATGTGCAAAACTATTGCAGCCCTGTCCTGTCTCCTCAAGTGTCTTTGGGGCTGATCTGTGCTGTACTCTGTGGGACAGAGCTGTGACTCCCTGTATGTCCAGAGGGCTGGTGTCTCTATCCCGTGTCCCTCCTCACATCCTCACATCCTCACATCCTCACATCCTCATATTCTCACATCCTCCTCACATCGTCGCACAATGACCCTCTCCTTCTGTTATTTTGCAGCCAGTGTTGATGTCTACAGGACACACCCCAATGTACACCTCTGCTGTTTCCACACTGGTAAGAGCCGAGCCGCTCTGTCCGCCGCAGGACCTCACACTATCATTGTCCTGTGCCATTGTCATTGGTTTGGTTTGGGTTGCCTCCCCATTTGTCAGGGACTGGTTTATAAATTCAAGAGGTCCCACCAACCACCGCCTTTTCAATGTTTTTCTATATTTAATTCGGCTAAACTATGGCAGGTCATCAGTGGTATCAGTGTGCTCATGACCATCAATCATTTTATATCAGACACATCTGTACTGTAATACTGTAATACTGTAATACTACCTTTATTTTGGTCATGTGATGGGAGCATTTTCAATGTGTAGTTTAAATGACTGGAATTTAATTGTATTATAGTGTTAATAACCACCAGTGTTGTAATATTTGACGCCATGAGAGACATAACTTGTATTGAGTAAAGTTGTGTGAAGTAACAGGGGTTGATGATTCAATTCAAATGCTTTAGATGCTTACATAGTGGCTGCACTAGATTCATTGCACAGAACGACTGAACAAATTTTTTGGAAGTAAAGATAATCCCTTTTACCTAATTATAGACAATATAACTTAATGATCTAGCACTTATTTTTTTGCATCGCTGACCCATAGCCTACTTTGTACAACTATAAACAATGTAGAATAGATAATATTTTAGTGCTCAGTCCTGTAGGTGTCAGTGTTTGACTGAACAGCATGACTTCCCTAACCTTGAAAAGATGGCAGAGCTCCTTTCTCAATAAAACATTTTTACGAGCAGACAGGCTGCATTAGCCTCACAGCCCGTGAAATCACTTTCCGGTTTTTGGCTTAAACTTTAGGAACAGACCAAGAAAGCTGCAGAAAAATAGATATTCAGCTTTTACATAAATTGATTTAAACATGTAACAAACTGAGCTATGTAATCTAATAAAGTAAAAAGTGTTTGGATGGCAAGGAATGCAAAAGGACTAATCAAGAGAGATGTGCATTCAAAGGGCCCTCTGTCTCTGAGGGACTCTTAGTTGCACTAATATATTGACCTTGAATACATCCTTTCTAAAAGCCGTCTCTCGTGATCTCTCTTTCCAACTGTTTTGCATATAGTGCAATCACCACTCTGCCATAGGCAAGAGTAATGTCTGCATATACAGTGCACTCATCTGGCCCATGCTTGTGTGTACAAATGCATGCAGTCAATTTTCCACACTGGTAAAATGAAATATGTGGAACTCCCAGGATGCATTGCAGCGTCCCTTGTCCATAGATGTGTTTGCAGCAGGCCGTCCGCTTGTCCATGTGTAGGTGGTGTTGTAAGTCTCTGGCTTTATTGCCGTAACGCTGTGGGCTTTGCCACTTTCACTTGAGCTCAGTGATTTATAGCAGCGTCTGCGCCACAACAGTTTGGCACAATAAGAACAGGTCCAGAGGTTACATAGATGATTCAGCACAGAGGTCATTCAGCAACAAATGACTCCACTTATAATCTGGGGAACAGTGTCATCACACATGATATGACAGGAACTGCATCCAAGTTTTTGTAATTCTTTCTGATCTGTCAAAGAAGACTTTAGTTTTTTTGTGATCACCATAAATGTTCCACATTTGATACTTGCTGTTTCTTACATTACACAACAAAATTACAACAGTCATCCTTTACATTTTTTTTATGCTTTTGAGCTACATTTTTACTTCATCTATTTATCTATTTATCATCTATTTATATTAATTCTGTATAAATTTTTTAAAAAGTACTTTGCATTTTCCAAACTGTATAGACCTCCCCTGTTTGACACTTCCAAACCTGCTTTGAGTATTAAGTATTCAATTACTGGTTGTAGTCTTTTCTCAAGAGCTCTGCATTATCCTGCCTTCACTCTTATGGGCGCTATCACTCATCTTCATTTGCTCTGTCCTCCTGCTTTTCTTTAATAAATGTTTAAATATTTCCCCGCAGCTCTGGTGTAATTACTGAGCAGCAGCAGCAGCTCTGGTCCTCAGGGACAGACGGAGGTGGGGAGGGAGAGAAGGAGGAGAGGAAGAGAGGAAAGAGGAGGAGAAGGAGGAGGGAGAGGAGGAGGAGAGTGGAGTTAATGCTGAATGGTGGACTGAGGGACATGATGGGAAAGGAGATGAGATAGGTAGAAGGAGGATTTTTTTATTGAACAAAATGAGGCTGTCATCTGACAGGCTGTCCTTCAGCGTGCCCTTACATAAGTGTGTCCCTGTGTCACTAGTCTCTGCTCAGTTTCAGATGGAAGAACAACTGTGGCCTCAGCCGTGTGCTGATGTCTCAGGCTGATTTAAGGAAAGGTGGGGTTGTAGTCAAGGTGGTAGACAGAGCAATGTGGCTGTGATTTTAAATAATCAATGTATTTGATATATTATGATTCATAGTTGTATGTTTCACATTGAAACTGGAATATGTTCACATGTTTTCAATGAAGAGGCGTGCAACACCATCAGCAGACTGTCTTATAATCAGGTACGGTTCCAGTCTTCTTAATTTGTGTGACAGTACTTAATTAAAAGTAAATAAATGTGTGGGTTATTTAGGGTTAAATATGCTGTATGAATGGGCATCAGGTTTGCTTGGGTATGTGAAAAATCAAAATTTGTACATAACTGGAGCTGGCCCTCCATAATGTGTTAATTGTGAATTGCACCAGATGCTGTTTTGAGCGTGCACTATAGCCTCAAGCACAGAATTCATTGCCTCAATGGGTTTAAACTAAAGATACTGCCTCTAGAATCACAAGAAGTCAGTAGAGGAAAGAATATGTTTGGGCTTCTATAATTTGAAAAATGACCTGAAGTCAAGTGCTATTCCCAGTTGCTGAAACTGCAGAAATGTATTGTTCTGGTTGACTAGGTTAAGGAAAGGCCCTGAGTCATTTATAGTAACTTGTCTTCCTCTGCACAGCCTAAATTTCCTTCACATGTCCCCACCTCCAGCTCTACACACAAAGACAGCTAAGTAATTGCCATCAAACTTTCCTGCTCCACTCCTTTTGCCTTTCTATGGGAGCGGAGAGGGGAGGGGTGCACAGAGCAGCAGAGGCAGAAAATATGAACTGCATTCTCCAGGAGCACAGAGCCGCGGCCGGGACCAGCCTCATGCACTCCATTTACAGACAGGACAGAGCAGAAAGACCTGTTCACACAAATGATTTTTCTTATGCATCTGAAAGGGGCAAATCTGAGGAACACAAAATAGTGATGAGTCATTTTTCAGACTCCAGCCTTTACTCAGCAGGAACGCACTACTGACTGCCTCATCTGCCATTTGGGATTTAACATTTGTTTTTGAAATTTTGTCTTTCTCCATGGCCTTCTTGCTCCTTTATTGCTGAAAATGATATGTTGTTTGCGTTTATAACAATCAGAAGTCAAAAACCACAATGGATTTGGTATTTTTGAGGATTGACACATAATAAACAGCATGTGTTAATTTTTTGGATTTTAAACAAATTTCAAATGTCAATATTCTGGCAAAATGTTCATGACCGTGTGGTATGCCAAAAAGGTGGGCTCCCGCTTCCTCGAAAACGTACGGAAAGCCAAGAAACGACGACTTTATAAGAGGGTATGCAGAATTTGACATTTTAATTTTAGTCTCAGGTACATTGATTTAGCATTTGCAAATCCTTAAATAGTTTGCTTTAAAACTGATTATGGAGTGCCTGGGTAATCATATGTATGAAATTAAATTCACAAATGCTAATCAGATGTTGCTGTAGCTTCATGTTTGGGAAGAGATGCGTATCTGGCCTTAATCTCCAAATCGAGTTTCTCTCCAACAAACAGTAAATGACCTCACAACGCAGGCTATAATCTTCCTGTGCGCTCCTCCAAATTACCCATGATTCAATAGGAAACAAATTATGTGCGCATTGTGCTTGAATTGTGAGTTGAATTAACCTCTTTTCTTTCTCCACACAAACACATTAGGTTTGGTTTCCTGTTACAAAATCGTCTGTGATCTGAGCTGACTCACTAAACAGCTTTTCTCTCGCACAAGATACCAAAGTCTTGCCTCCTATGCCCCAAATTGCTCAGAAAACCCAGAGGTAGAGGTCAGGCTACTGTTTATACTCTATTGCAGCATCCATCTAAATTCACTACTGCTGACCCAAAGTTGCTGACAAAGCCGAGAAGCTGGACTTTGCATATATTTCACAGAGTACATGGTTTCAGAGTATATAGTTTGCATGGCGTGGCTAGCTTTTATGTATCCCGCCCTCCCCAGTTGCTGTGTGAGGTGCGCGAACACTAATGCAGCCTCTGGGCAGTGTCCAGCTCAGCTCCTTCCTTCTTCTTAATGATATTGGCGTTTTTTTTTCCTCCAACAGTAACAGTTTAACAATCAATGCTGCAGGCTAAGGGAGTACGTTTATGGCATGAATAAAAAGGTGGTTAGTGTTATACAAGCATTTTTATCTCGTGGGCTAAACTGTAGTTGCAGCACACATCTAAAAATAGGAACTCTTTTTGTACAATTCATAGCTCCTTGTGTATATTAATGACTTATCTGTTGAATGTTTTATTTTGCTGACAACAATGTTTAATACTATTGTGTGAGTCATGTATTTATACTACTGTGTGACTCAAATTCTAAAAGGTCCAGATTCACCCACCAATTGTACTCACTTTGTTTTTCCTATTGGCTACTTTACATAATCAAATTCTTTAGTTACTTGTGAGCAAAGATTTGTATGTTGATTTGCAATCATGTTACTTACAGCACTGAAACGAGTACTGAAAAGTTGAACTAAAATAAAAGTAAAAAGCACAATGTGGAAATAATTACTTAGAGTACTACTTACTTTTAAACATGGTTTTAGTGTAATTTTAGGTCAATCTTTTGTACAGAACTTGAAATGAAACCGTTTACTGTGAAATTATGTTGTTTTAAACCACAATCATCATATAATCTTAACTGACCAATCAGAGCAGGTGATGGAGTGCAGATAACTGTACATTTGAACGATTAGGACTTGTACTGTGCTCAGACAGTAACTTGCGTTATTTTAAGTTTTGCAACAAATTACAATTGTATAGTTAGAATTAAGTTACAAGTACTAAACAATACTCAAAAAAGTATAATTACCAAACATTCTGCTCTGCTTAAATGATGTGAGTATTTGTAATGCATTACCCTCCACTTCTGTTTACTTCAGATTCCCTCCCAACCCCTGCTTTTTCAGACTTGGGACCACGATTCAAACCACACTGGCTTAAGAAGCTTTGTGTTTACTGTATATTATGTGCATGAATACCTGAGTATGTCCATAGGCAGTAAGTAAATAATAGTTGGTGTGACATTTAACACTGCATTTAACACTCTGTATGTTAATGAAGCAGGGTGTACAGTATAAGGAGTGGCCGGGATGTGAGTGCTGCCTGTAAAAACACAACAGTGAGGCCAGTTAGCTGAATAGGTTGGTGTTAAAATATAGGTGGGTGATGGCAGCCAAACACAGTAAATCCTTACAAGCCTGATGTCCAATGACTTGACAGAGAGAGGAGGAGAGAGTGAGAGGGGCTTTGTCAAAATCGCTGCAGGAAAACTGCCTGGCACCAGGCTTAGATTTCTGCTGGCTATACTCATTATTTCAGTCTCCAGATAAGGATGAATTTGACGTAATGTTCAGCGGCGTGGCTCATTGGACATTGTTGTACAGTATTGTAACAAGGTTTGGCACAAGGATATTTGGTACCATTTTACAACAACAGCAGCACTATTTACAGCCTTATGAAAGCATGAAGAAAAAATGTTTAAGACACGATATTAAGGGGTTAGGAGCTGGGTTAGGCAAGGGTATAAATGTAGTTACTATGCTTGAATCATTCTTAACAAACCATTTGTTCATTATTTTTATTTTTATTTTTTTCGCATGTTTTATTAATGCTAATTAAGGTGTAGTGCTATGAAGTACATACAAAGTAATCCTGAGTATTAGGGAGAATAAATGTTTTATCAGTGTAACCATGTAAACTGCTGATGACAGGGGTCCATGTTTGTGATATTTGGCAGGCATTTATTTTGTATTTAAAGACAGCCATAGCTGTCCATTGCAAAAGACATTGTTGTATGTGGAAATATGATCATATCAAATTTTATCCCAATCTGAGTGATCAGATCTGATGATCTGGCAATCTGGAGTACTTATTTTAATGTATTTTGCTTGTCTCATCCTGCCCTCTTTTGGCCTGTCATTGTCTGAGTGAATGACAGGGGTTTTCACCCCATCACAGTGAAGGATGAAGTTTATAAAGATATAAACCCAAATTGTGACCTAAGCTGGAAGTAAATCAAGATGTATTTTTGCCCTATTGTCCCTGAAATACATCTTTGGTATGATCTACTGATATCCAAGGGTTTCAGAATAAGTAAATATAACAATTTAAAACAAAATATATATTTTGAATGACATTGCATGTTAGCTGAAAATCCCTGAAGAGTCTAGGCAGAAAACTGTTGCCCAGTTTATTTTTGGTCACAACACAGTTTACCACCATTTACAGCAGCTGTTTGCATCTCATTGTACATTGTACATTGTACATCTCTTTAGTTTTTTCACTATATACTCCACTTTTTTATGTCCTTATATTGTTGGTAGTAGCTCTTTCTCACATATTATACAGATTTTTTTATTTGGAATTATGTTATTGACGTACTGTAGGGTGCAGAGGACCTCTTCCATGCACAGTGCAAATTAGTTTATGTTATTGTTGTCATTATGTTGACCCAAACAGCAGATGTGGAGTATTGTAATTGAGCATCTATGTTTTGGATATCATCGTGTGTGGCTTTTGTGTAACTGTACAATCCATCAACGATAAAATATGGCTGCAAACCACATTGTCAAAACACATCAGTTCTTTCATAGACAAGTTGCTTTGTTCTGACTGTTTAATCATCAAACTGTCTGTCACTGACTTACACTCTCCCGATCTTTTGCTCAAGTGCTAGGAGACTGCCACAGCGCTGTGATGTGAATGTAGTGGGTGGTGAGGGTGACTGTACGTCATATTGATCAAAGAAGCTACACTATTTTGCAATCTAACCCAGAGTTTTACCTAAATGTCATCACACCATTTTAGTTATGTTAGCTTTGTGAATACTCTTTATGAAGGTGACCACTTTAAATTGTAGAAAACAAGGACAGGTTGAATGTAGTGCGACATGTGGAGAGAATCAGGAAATGTAAGTCTGTAGATAATAACTCCAAAAACACCAAATGATTTACAGTTTTTATCAACTGAGTTTGTGCAATTATAGGTGCAAATATATTAGGTAAGGCAAGGCAACTTTATTTGTACAAATTTATGCTCAAAATAATTCAAAGCACTTTACAGATTGAGACTGAATCACAATATTACAACCCTGAATGCCAGTGCACCCAAAATCTACATTTCAGATAGAAAAAATATTCTGTTGAATGTAAATCTAATATTTCATAATTCAAGTGGCTTCAGTGAAAAAATGGGACATTCTCTAAATAAGTGGGACAAGGGACAGGGGCCTAATTGACTGTACTGGATGACCACAAGAGGGACAGATGGCTGTCCTACTCTTCATGGATATGTAACTGTTTTTTTCAAAGCAGGGAGAGCACTGTAACAACTACAGGCTCCCATGGAGCTGTTGGCCTGGATGTATTGGAGATATACTCCAACAATAACCCCATTTCAAAATGATTATTTCTTAATAACTTTTCTCCTCTGTCTGTGTCTCCAGGGAAACACGCCTCCTGTGGTGGTGAACACTGACACACTTGACGGCTCGCCATATGTGAGTATTAGCCCTTATCACACTCACATTATATTAATATGATCCATATAATTTTACTTTATCAACTGGAAAAACTTTGTTGAGTCTGTAGCTTTATACAAAGTTATTTAACATAAGGACAGAAATGCATTATTCTAGTTCTACCTTGCTTCAGACACATAATTTGTATTAAATAGATTAGATTAAAAAGTGCACTGCCTCCTCAACAAAAAGTCGAGTCTCTCTGATCAGTTTTATTGCACCGCTACATCACTACTAAAGTTTGTTTTCTAGGTCAACCAAAAAAAGCATTTGTCTGAAGTTTTCGTAGCTTCTGCTCCTCTGGGACTTTTTTAATTGCAGAGGTATAGCTGATGTGAAGGCAGAAGGCAAATTAGACACAAGGAAAGATGGTCCAAGGAAAGAAGGAGAAAGAATAAAGTTGAGGAACCTTTTAAGCTAAATTTGGTGCTAGTTTATAAATTTTGTTCAACTGTATTTCAGGTTAATCTTATTAGTTTAGGGTTTTTTTGTTAACAGCTCTAATTGTTGAAATTATTATCTTGAAAATTATGTTTTCTTTTCAGTTACCATTGTTTGCATTTGTTGTAGGATATCAATTAAGACTTTTTGTTCTACAGGTAAATGGGACAGAAGGTGAAATTGAATATGAGGAGATCACGCTGGAGAGGGTCAGTGTTAATTTGGAGTATCAAAATAGTTCTGTCATTCTGTTAAAATGTCTTAAATAAATAATTGTCTGTTTTCTTTGTAGGGAAACTCAGGCCTTGGCTTCAGTATAGCAGGGGGGACAGACAACCCCCATGTGGGTGATGACCCCAGCATCTTTATCACCAAAATCATCCCAGGGGGCGCTGCAGCTCAGGACGGCAGGCTCAGGTACACTCTCACACATATCTTAGTAGACTAGTGTTCACCTGACACCACTACATTCTATAATACTTAACAATGAGCAGCTCAGTATTTTATGATATAAGTAGCTGTTTAACTATCAAATTGCAGATTTGTTGACCTGGTTTGTATTTCATATTTCTGCAATACTGGATCTAACCACATGAAACAAAAACAAGCACACAATTTGGCATCTTGTCTGTCAGCGTAAATAAATAAAATGGAAATTATTTTTAACAATAGCTTCACAACGTGACACCATTATTCAACTCCAAAGACAAGATAAGATTAAATGGCAAGCTTAATGTGGACTTTGTTCCTTACAAATTATACTAAAGTTCAGCATTTGCAGACCATAAATTTTGATATTTTTGCTTAAACAGTGAATCTCCCATATATGCTCCTAGAATTAGCAGAGCAAAAACAATGAACAAGAATACACAGGAATATTCAGCTTATAAAACATTAAATTAACAGTTTTCTCTTCACCACTGCCATCGCCCCTCACTCCTTTCATGAATCATAGCAGTTGGCGGTGTGTGTGTTTAGTGATGTGTAGTGCTGTGGACTGTAGTTGTGTGGCTGCTCCTGTCAGCTGTGATATCTGAGGTTATTTTCCAGTTCATTATTGTTTCCCACCTCTCACACACCTGGGCCAGACTCACTGTCATAACCTAATATAACCCGAGCAGAGGTTTCTCTGTGCAAAAGGAGGCAGGATGTCCATGGTGAAACTAGATCCTTGACAAAGCTACTGTTGCAGATTGAGTGCTTCTAGCCTCCTGTGGCGATGTATTACATTCACTTTCTTTAAATGAAAACAGACTTGTTGTTTTTGCTGACTCTCCGCCTGCCTCTGTCTCTCTGCAGTGTGAATGACTGCATCTTATTTGTGAATGATGTGGATGTACGAGAGGTGACACACAGCCAGGCAGTGGAGGCTCTGAAGGAGGCAGGTGCTATAGTCCGCCTCTATGTTCTGCGAAGGAAACCTGCAGCAGAAAAAGTGACCGAAATCAAACTCATCAAAGGCCCCAAAGGTAAGTGCTGACAAAGTATGGCTACTGTGTGGGGAAATGTTTTAAAGGTGCACTATGTACATTTTCAGGTTGCTTGCCTCCATGGAGGTTGCATAGATTTGAGAATGTTACACAGTATGGCATTGTTTTTATCTATCTCCAAGGAAATTGTGTAGCTTTGCTTGGAATGTTACACAGTATGCCGATATATATACTTATTTCCATGGATGCAAGCAAGCCAAGTTACAGGTAAGATCTGTGGTGAGTTGAACCACCCATAGTAAGAATGCTGTTTTTGAATGTATTTTGAGCAATAAATACTTCTATTAACTCATGGTGGGTAAGTTTACTACAAATACTGTGGAACATTCCAGGCAAAGAAATATCACCTCCACCAAGACAGATCCCCAACTTTCTGAATCTGTCCCATCTGAAACTATTCCTACTTTTCTTACAGTCTGCTCTGGCTCTCTGTTCACAGGCTTAGGTTTCAGCATCGCTGGAGGGGTGGGCAACCAGCACATACCCGGAGACAACAGCATTTATGTTACCAAGATCATCGAGGGCGGAGCAGCTCACAAGGATGGCCGTCTACAGATTGGGGATAAGATCTTAGCGGTGAGTTTCTCATGCATAATGCTCCGATACAGAAATGCACCCACACAATATTCACATAGTCACATGACGCAGCCTCAGTCTCTCACTCACTCCACACAGGCTCAGTGTGTTTAAGCACAGAGCCAAGAGAAATAAATGCAGCTTTCATGGCATGGAACTGCTTTCATTAATATGTTAATAAATGAGTGGGATGGGATCAAACTGTCTGGAAGCCATATTTGCAATTAAACCAGCATTACTGCCATCTGGTGGGGACTATATGTAGCGCAATGCAGTCTGTGCTTTCAGTCAGAACAGTTAAATAAATGCTGACTTTCTTAAGGGTGTAGTATGCCACACATTGAAAAATATCTATCATAAGCCTTTTATGATCTATTGTTGCTTTGATCTTAAATTTGGTAGAAAAAACTGATTTATAGAAACAAATTTAAGACAATATTGTCTTCTGCATGTCATAATAGACATATTTTAAAACAGATTGATCAATTCTTGTTTCTAGATGCATTTGAAACTCTGTGGATAGGGTTGCTCTTTGTTTCTGCCTACTCCTTTTGAGCATTGCTGTGTTACTTTTCCAAAGAAAAATTAAATGTTATGAAATGTCAAATCAAAAGTGTGATGGGTATCATGTAATCAGACTATTGTTTATTTTGTCGGTTATCTTTAAATGAATGAGTCCCCTGAAAGACCTGTGTGCTTGTTCTTGTGCAGGTGAACAGTGTGTGTCTGGAGGATGTGATGCACGAGGATGCAGTGGGGGCTCTGAAGAACACAGCCGAGGTGGTATACCTCCGGGTGGCCAAGCCCAACAACCTGTTCCTGACCAACTCCTACAACCCTCCAGACCTCACCAGCAGTAAGCACGCCTCTGCACCACCTCAGGCGTTACTCACATGTGTTCAAAACGTGTGCAGAAATGCTGGTGTTTCATTTCCAACATTGGATGGAAATAGATCTTCTTTTGACAAAAAATCAAAAAATGTCAAATCTGCAAGACAACAAATTACTGTATAGATTCAAGGTTTTCACATGCACTGCATTTTGGGGTTTGTTGTCTGGTTTCCTTGAACAATCAAAGCAGACAATAGTTATGTGTCGAAGTTGCTTGATAAAAGGCTATATTTAAAACATTCTATTTAAAACACATTTGAAGCCTGCAGAATATTTTCAATGTAACAAGTCCAAATAGTGCATAAACTGACAGCTGTGAACAAAAATACACTTTGGAGCTTCTTGTAAAGCACTCTCATTTAAATTCACAGTGAAGTGTCAAGTTCAATTGTTTTCATGATTAACTATTATTATTATTATTATTATTATTTTTCTTTATTCTTAGCGTATTCTCACATGGATACAGACCTCAGCCACCCAAACTATCTAGGATCTGATTACCCACAAGCCCTCACTCCCACCTCGCCTAGTCGCTTCTCCCCGGTGCTGCACAGTATGATGGGAGATGATGATATCCCCAGGTCAGTAATGATCAATAAACCTTTTAGTTCTCTTGTACACTTGCTTTTACACTGTGACCTATTTTCCACTTGTGTTGTCGCAGGGAGCCTCGGAGAGTTTTGATCCACCGAGGCTCGACAGGTCTGGGGTTCAACATCGTGGGTGGGGAGGATGGTGAGGGCATCTTCATCTCCTTCATCCTGGCAGGGGGTCCAGCTGACCTGAGCGGAGAGCTGCACAAGGGCGATCAGATCCTCAGTGTAAGAACTCTTCTTTTTCTCACATGTTGGCCATTTTAGCAGTGCCCTTTGGTTTGACTGCTGTTTGCTGTGTTTCAGGTGAATGGGGTTGACCTGCGCATGGCCACACACGAACAGGCAGCAGCAGCACTCAAGAACGCTGGTCAGACTGTGACAATAATCGCTCAGTACAGACCAGATGGTAAGTACTTTTCAAAACTTAAAATACATCTTTTGACAGAGAAGGGTAGAGTAGACAAAAACTGTAGAAATACAAAGTAGTAGTCCAAGAAATTTACTCAAGAAAGTAAAAGAGTATTTTGGGAAACCACTTCTCAAGTTAAAATAATAGTAAAATGGATGCAACACCTAATTAATAATTTTATGTTTATGCAGTTGGAGGGACAGAACATTAAATAATGCACATCTGGTCAAAGCTGGTATTTTTAAAAGTTAGACAAAAAAAGATGGAAAAATAAATTAATTCAGAAGGAACAGTGTAAGAAACATAAATGTTCAAATCATTAAATATTGTCATCATAAGCTTTTGTCACTTGTGGACTCAATGTGGGAAGAGTAACCAAAACTTTTACTCACATAAGATTACACTTTCTATATGTAAATGTAACTGAAAAAACCCATCCTGTACATCCCACTTATGTATTTTGATAGCATGCATTATATGTATAGTGAGTTTACGTCTTATTCTAGTGCCATAGTAAGTGTAAGTGTTGTGCTTCAGAGTACAGCCGCTTTGAAGCCAAGATTCACGACTTGAGAGAACAGCTGATGAACAGCAGTATGGGCTCTGGGACCACAACACTACGGAGCAACCCAAAGAGAGGCTTTTATATCAGGTACCACCATCACAACACACAGGTCTAAGTCATAATCATCAGCTAACACAACTCAGATCATTGGCGCCTTTCAAAAAAGCTGTTTAAAGAAGATTTAATCACACGCTGCACACTGCTGTTACCATGTTGTTGTTATACAAGCTGCAGCTGTTTTAGTATTTCCCTTCAGGGCTAATGTTAAATTATGAATGTGACTATACACTCTTACACTATACGAGGGAGTTTTAATGTTGTGAACATATTTTTCTACAAGATCTGCAGTTAGTGCAAAGATGTATAATGTGAGTATAGACCTAGCCTCCGTGTTGGTATGCCCATTAAAAATACATAAATGCAAACTTCACCTATCTCATTAATTATAAATGAGCCATGCAAATTCATAGTGTGTGGTAATGGTACTATAAAACAGCACTAAAACAGAAATATAAATGTGAATACAATGTATTCTAAACATCTTCCTCTTATTGTTTTGGGATTGGTGTTATGGTTTGCTCTGAAACAACCCATGTATGTAAAACTCTTGACAGCTTTTTGGTTAAATCTCCAACTGACTAATCTGAGACTGATATTTGTGTAGAGACATCTGGGATAGGGGTGGGGAGAGAGTCACAATGTTTCTACAAACTCAATCTGGACTTTTTCATGTTAAAGTATTAATGTGTTATGTGTTATAAACAATCTGTCTAAAGAAGAGGAAGAGCAAGTTGCGATAATTAGACCTGTACTAATCACCCAATGGACAAGTATTTGCAATAACTAATATGTGTTTTCTTTCCAGGGCTCTTTTTGACTATGACAAGACAGCAGACTGTGGTTTCCTGAGCCAGGCCTTGAGCTTCAGATTTGGGGATGTGCTTCACGTGTTGGACTGTGGGGATGAAGAGTGGTGGCAGGCGAGAAGAGTCAGCCCCCAAAATGAGGCAGAGGAGGTGGGCTTCATCCCCAGCAAACTCAGGTCAGACCAGAGTGTGATTACTACTACACCACAATACACAATAATACTAAATGTTTAACTTGGTACAATGTACTAGAAAAATGATTGTGTTTTTTCAGAGTCGAGAGAAAAGAGTGGTCTCGTGTAAACACCAAAGAGAGGGTAAATCAGTCACTAACACAACAAGGCAACGTCAATCAAATGTTTAAACAAAAAAAAAAAAAATTTTTTTATTTTCTTACAGGACCATGGGCGTGACAGTTTGGGCCCTCAAGGTAATTTGTCTGGATCTTAAAGCTGCTGTACCCGTCTTAAAAACGCAAAAAACACACCAGCTTGCAATGGTCCGAAGTTATCCTTCACTTACCTTATGTATTCTGAACATCCTAAATATGCACCTCGATGAGTTTATAAGCTCTTTTCACAACGTTCAGAGACCAGTGCGGATCTTTGCTGTGAAGGTAAAGCTAACAACTAGCACTTCCTGATTATCGGACAGTAAAATACTTTCTAATTAAATGAAATATTGTGAACTATTGTGAATATTGTATGTATAAGACAAATGATACATGTTATTAAATTTTTATCAAATATATGTAATATATTAAGTTACATCTTGAAATTCTTCTGTGTGTCCTTGGCAGGGAGAGATAAACTCTCACACAGTTATGAGACTGTCACTCAAGTAGAAGGTGAGATCAATGGAAAAGACATTATTGTTTGAAGTGTTTTGAGCTTTTTCTAAATGTTCCTCTTTTGTTATTTTGAAATGCTCAGTCCATTACGCCAGGCCCATCATCATTCTGGGTCCCGTTAAAGACAGGGTAAATGACGACCTCTTGTCCGAGTTCCCTGATAAGTTTGGATCCTGTGTTCCACGTAAGTGTTACTGCTGTCAAATAAAACTCTCTCTCTCTGTGCATGATGTGTTCCTCTGAGAGAAACTGCACTGGCGTAAATCCTCAAAGCGTCAGTGTTGATCTCTATAAACAGTTGTCACTTGCCTTGACAGACACCACGCGGCCCAAAAGGGAGTACGAGGTGGACGGGCGGGACTATCACTTTGTGTCGTCACGGGAACAGATGGAGAAGGACATCCAGAGTCACCGCTTCATCGAGGCGGGACAGTACAACAGCCACTTGTACGGCACCAGTGTCCAGAGTGTGCGTGAGGTGGCTGAGCAGGTGGGCTTTGACTCAGGGATAAGAGATAAAGAAATCTAATCCAATCCACTGGATATTTTGTTTTAAATTGTTAAAGGGCCCATATAATGCAGTATTTTAATGTATGTTATAATGTTGTTTCCTCATCAAAAACATACCCGGAGTTTGTTTCACACATGTTTAACACACATACCCTGCATATTTAGGTCGAGTTCTTCTTTCAAGCTGAAAGCACTCTGTCCCACCTTGTGATGCAATACAGGAAGTGCTCCACTGTGTTCACTCTATACACCCTCACTAGAATCATTTTAATGATTTCAGCCCTGGAATTGCCCATCTCTACTGAACTAAAGGTAAAAGGTAGCGTTAACTTGAAAGCTACCACTTCATGAAATCACAAGGTGGAAATGTAGACAGGCTACATCATCTAAGGTTACTTACATTAGTGAAGTAAACAAAACACAACTCCAGAAATGTTTTTGATGACGTAACAGCATTATGACATGGTTTAAAGCTCATAAGAGTCAATTTTGCACAATATAGGAACTTTAAATTGTTAATTACTATGACTACTGCCCTCATCATTCTGAAACCTATGAGTAATTGTTTTTATTTTGTGTTTTTTCCCAAATAGCAAGGGAAACACTGCATCCTGGATGTATCTGCCAATGCTGTACGCAGACTACAAGCTGCTCAGCTCCATCCAATTGCCATCTTTGTTCGGCCCAAGTCTTTGGAAAATGTGTTGTATGTTAAAATCTTGTCACATGTATGTATTTAAACATGTCACACCTTCCTACGTTGTTAATAAATATGTTTTCAGGGAGATCAACACTCGACTGACAGAAGAACAAGCAAGGAAAGGAATGGATCGAGCCCTCAAACTAGAACAGGACTTCCTCGAGTGTTTTACAGGTACAATGTGCTACAGAACTGATATTTTACGTAGCTTTTTCTCCTTAAATACCCCAAGTCAACTACTTTCCAATTGACTAATATATCTCAGTCCGCCACTTTCCTCTGTGTCAGACATTTGTAAAGTAAAGTAGAATACAATGGGATGATTCAGAGTTGTAAAACATTTAAAGATGGATGTGTGTTTGCAGCAACGGAACTGTTGTGAATAGAAAGTGTCAACAGATGCTGAACATTAAATCTTTTATCGACTAATATGTTCGTATAATTAAACACAATAAGATTTTTTATATTATATGCATGGGGGAACTGAAAGCATTGAGATTGCTGACATTTGTGAATTATTAAGTGTCCATCCCCTGTTGTTTTCTTATGTATCTCTCTTTTTGCTCATTGTTGCTCTCTCTGTTTTCATGCCTGGCTGCAGCTGTGGTGGAGGGTGACAGTTTTGAGGAGGTCTATCACAAAGTAAAGACAGTGATCGAGGAGCAATCAGGGCCTTACATCTGGATCCCCACTCGGGAGAGGCTGTGAACCATAGCGCCCCCACCTACGCTGTCCTGCACCACCTGTCACCCTCACAGCCGGGACAGTCCCATACGCCTGTCCCGCTGTCCTCCAGCAAAGTCAGTGCTTAGGCAATCACCGCGAGTGACACAGACAAACCAAGCATATCAAGACAAAATCGTGAGAGAGAGAGAGAGACCACAGGGAAGCAGAGAGCGATACCAAAACTAAAGTGGACTGAGTCATCATCATGTGTAATTACAGTCTGAGAGAAGACGTCAATATCCCGGTTCAATGAGGCGTGGCTGAGCTCCGAGGCCTTGTTCACACTCTGCTTTAAAATGCACCAAGTGGATATCTTTAAGTACCGCTGCCAAAAGTAGAAAATCAAACATATTCAACATATATGCGTATTTAGATATGCCAAACAATCCTTCAATGTCTGTGTTTGCGACTGTACGATTAGGCATGTTTAATTGGTGCCACCTGTTTCAAAGATGTAAATGGTAGAAGCATTTGGGACAAAACTAAAATATGAAAGTCCATTCTAAAGATTAGTGAAACATTTTGATGCCTTGTGTGAACTCTCCACTTCCTAAAAGGATCCACACACAGCTGTATGTGTTACATGTTGTAGGTGTAAGCAGGGCTAGAGACATACTGTAAAGGGAGCCTTCCAGTGATGAACTTGAGATTCACAAGGTCTCCTCAATCTTCTTGATCTATGATAGTGGTGCCCCAAAAGACGCTGGTCCCTCTTTTTATCACAAAGTTGTGTCATCCTTCTGCCAGCTCTGCCTTGTCACAGGATGGAAGAGGGGTTGTCCTCTTTCTGTCCTCTCCTTTTCCACCAGGAGGCGCTGTTTACCCCTGTTCTCTTGGTTCAGAATGACCACGACTAAACAAAAGCTTCAAAACAAGGCTTCATTCAAGTTACTGTGAGGCATTGCTTCAAGGCAGTTTAAATAACAATAGAGAAATATGCTAAATTTGTGCATGCATTTTCAAATATGGTGGAGGCAGGGAAAAATAATTAGCAAAACTGACACTGGGAAGGATGCATTCCCCTTTCTAATATCAAGGAAGTGTTTTATAGCATGTCTTAGAAAGGACAATGTGAAGCGATGTGAAATTGAATCATGGGGCCATTCCTGTATACTTCTGAGTACTGTAGATGCTCTGGCATATAGTTTAGCCTCTGCCATCACAATCACACACACATATATATGACTCTACGCTCAGCTGTCTCCAGGCACACTCCTCTACAGGGGGATGAATGTTATCTCTCTAGGCACAAGCAGCTCCACAGCCACAACCCCCTCCTTCTGCTCTATCTGCACACACGCACCACTCCCACTGCACAGGCCTGTCACAATAATGAAAAGTCAGATTTATTGCCTAATTTGAGATAAATGATAATACTGAATTCCACTTAATTCCATATATATATATATATATATATATATATATATATATATATATATATATATATATATATATATATATATATATAAATGTGTTTCTCACCTTCCACGGTGGTAGGTCTCTCTCACCCTCATTCAGCTCGGGTCCTCTACCAGAGGCCTGGTATATATATATATATATATATATATATATATATATATATATATATATATATATATATATAATTTGCAGTATTTGCAGTAGTGCAAATAGGTCGATTTATTAATTATTGTGACAGACCTTCTATTGCAACCCCTGCCTTCCCACCCCCTTTAGCTGCAGACACACGTGAGCCACTGCCCCTGCTCCTCCCTGGACAGTACATACACAGTAAAAGCCATGGCATTTGTGTGTCTGTGTGTGTTTGACAAGGCTGTGATCACACTTTGAAGGGGACTCACTGCAACAGTATTTTTGAAGTAGTTTTATCATTCAAGTTTAGACATGGACATTGACATTGTTTATCATGCTCAAATGAATCAAAACAGTAGTGGTTGAAGAGGTTTGGTGAAATTTCAATTGCTACTATTGCATTGCATGTACAGTAGCATCTTTATGTGGCTTAAAATGCCAATGTAACACAGTAACACAAAGATTAAATTGTACATTAATATAAAACGAGAACGAAAGAAGTAAATATATTGATTAAACATTAATATAGCACATTTGTAATAGGGTGCTCTATGTCCCCTCCAAAGTGAAGACTACAGTCATGTGGCGTGAAGGACTCCTCTGTGTGAGAGCAACAGGTCTTTTATTCTCTAACTTCCACTTTCCTGTCTAATTTTCCCTCTACTGTCCACACAAAATAAAGTTAGATCATGCTTATTGAATAAATGGCCTATATATATAAATATATATATAGAAATATATATATATATCTTTTTTATGCCTATTTGTAAGGGGACTGAGTCTGTAAAAATCAACACTTCCAAACTATATCCCACTGATTTTTTTTTTTTTGGTCAAATCGTAGTTTGGTTTTGACTTTACTAACATTCCCATCTTAATGTTGCAGCAGGAAGCTACAGAGAAATATTCATTCTAGTGGAGCCGCCCTCACTAGAGCTTGACATATTAGTCCTTGTGGAACAGAACTCAACACTTGTACAATGCAGCTGTGCGTCTGTGAGACTGTGCGTCTGCTTGTGTGTGCGGGGGACAGGGAAACTGTCCAAAATATATCAATGAAACAATATGTGTCCTATAACATCCACTGTTGGTGATTGTGTACAAACTAAAGGATGGTGTGAGTGTGTGTGAGTGAGACACGCACAGATGTAGTGCAATACTGCTATATGATGTTATGCAATGAAGATGGATTTATCAAGATTAAATACTGTATTTATAATGTTTGCACTGAGAGGCATTTTAAGCTACAGGTATTGACCACAGACAGTTCAAGAACATTGTCATTAGCTTGTTCTGAGACTCATGTTTTCCTCATTTTCTTTCACCTGTTAGAATTCTGTGTTATTTATTTCCATATTAATAATTATAAAACTAGGGCTATAGATGCAATGGTAAAACGTGTTGTATACAAAAAGAAATAAGACCAGATTCATTGGTTAATACCACAAGACTATATTTATTGATTACTACTGGTTTTAAATTTTGGACTAAGTTGAATTAAATTGTCTTTTTTTTCCACCTCAGTTTAGTGGGGCATTCTTCTTCTACTGTCTGTGATCTCCTCAGATCGTTGTATCGAGAATATGGAAAAGGGTATCCACAGTTCTTGAGCATGTGTTTGTATTTACTTATAATTTTTGAATTATAAGCTGGAAGTGTTAACTCAAAGTGATCATTCATATTTACTGTTTATTTATTTCACTTCAGCTGACATGGATTTAGCTGGAGAATGTGAATGGGTATCATTTTTTATTTATTTATTTAAAAGTGTCACTGGTTTCATCTTAAGTATGTATATTTTTGTATTTTTTCACAGACAGATGTTTTGGTCAGAAATGCTGTATATAAAGATGAGTGGATTCACTGAGAGGTGATTGAAGGATTTCAGATTACAGCCCAGTTAACACAAGTCTACATTGTGCACACTATCACACACTCTCCAGCACTATCGCAACATTATAGACACCTACACAAAGAGAAGACCACTGCGGGCGACGTCACCTTTATGAATGGATTTTTATGTTTTTCAAATTTCATTTTTGGAGAGTTCTATGTATTTCTTAATATCTCTCTCAGCCATCCATATCATAGTGTGATATTCCTTATCAAATATATGAATTTTTACAGAAAAGACTGATTACAAAAAGTTACTACTAAATCAACTGAAGAGAAGAATATATTTAACAATGAACAATATCAAGCAAAATAAAATGTTCCAGTTCAGTGAAGCGCTTGTTGTAAATTAGCTATAAAATAATAAAATTAATTTAAAATGCTTTCGGAAAATTGACTCCTGTGATTGTCTTTTCATTGTTTTGATACAATCTTAAAATTATTCATACCCTGGCTGTATTTTAAATGTGGTATTTAACTTATAATTGCAAAGATAAGATCAGTATTTACCCAAAAATACTTATAGCATGTTGATGTAGCTGATATAGAAAATTTTCAAGTCCTTATTTTCAATTATTTGCTATAAATATTTCTGTAATACTATGTAATATTTTGGTGTGTCTCCATTGAGATGTTATTGCTTAGCTTGAACTGTTCTACAGTGTGGCATAAAATCCCCATGGAGATAAGCAGGTGCTGGCACAACGCCAAGTTACAGGTCAGATCTGAAGAGAGGCAAGCTTGCTCATAGTAAAAAGGCATGTGTTTCAAAGTAGCCTACAAGCAATAAAACACATCATTTAATACAGTTAGATTTAGGTTTAGGTTTAATGGTACACTGTGGAACATTCCCAGTAAAACAATTACATCTCCATGGAGACAAGCAAGTTATATAGCGCACCTTTAGATTGTTCTCCAGAGTCAAATCATTTCACCTCTGCCGCATTTCCAGCAGATGGCGCTATTTCTTTGCTCTGAGCAGCTTACACAAGAAGCTGAATTTGCAGTTCCTCTCTGGCCCTCTTTCTCCGGGCGCTCCCCCACCTCTCCAGCTCTCATCAAGGGAACCATTTTCTCTTTTCAAAAACATACAACGAGCCCCACTGCATACACATCCATATTGAATGTTAGTACATTGGCCTATATACAACGAGATTATAATTGTATGAATGCAATGTGGATAATAGGTGACACTTACCAATCAAATATGACTAATGGAGTTGATAACCCTGCTAATTATCACTCAGACTCTCATAGTTTCAAAGTGAGACAATACGCTGACAGATGGGTTACTGGAAGACAAAGCTTTATTGATGTCTTTCAAATAAACTTTTAGTCTATTAATTACTCTACAGTGTAAATGTAAACTCCCTTAAGCGGATCTTACGTGAATGACAAAAGGCTTAATAGCACTTAAGATGAAGATTGATAGCATTAGGTGTGTTTGGAGTTAGTCAGAGAGCTGGAATTAAAACAATTAGATAAATTACTTCACAGTAGTTTTCTAAATTTGGGGACAAAGTAGGTAGTATTAAAGGGCCCATATTATTCTATTTCCTAACGTTATAATGATGTATCCTCAGCAAAATCATACCTGGAGTTTTGTTTTGTTTCATTCGCACATGTTTAACACAAAAACTCTGCATATTTAGGCTGCATTCTTTTTTCAAACAGAAAACACTCTGTTCCACCTTGTGATGGCATGTGATAAAGTGCTCCACTGTGTTTTTAAACTCCATTCACCTTCACAAGAATCATTTGGATAATTTCAGCCCTGGAACTGCCAATCTCTACTGCACAGAAGGTCAAAGGTAGCTGTTAACTTGAAAACTACCACTTCATGACAGATGGAACAGAACATTTTGATCTTTGGAGATGTAGACAGACTAATAATAAAGGACTAATCAAACATGTGTGAATTAAACTAAATACTACCCTAGGTATGTTTAGAAAAGGTAACAGCAGTATAACATGGCCTTTAATACTTTGTTAAGTATAGCCTACTTTAAAAAGGGACTACTGTGCATTGTACTGCCACACAGCTGTTACCATTTTAACCCTACTACAACAATTTAATCTATTACCGCATTTACCAGTTTAGAAAAAATATCTAGAAAAAACATGTCACTTATATTACTATATTCTGTAGAAAGTGCATGATATGTATGCAAATGTATGATATTACAAAATTTACTCTTGTGGGCTTTAAGCCATGTTATAATAGCTAGGCTGGTGCCACCTAGTGCCTCCGCTCAGTTTCATTTCTCTCCAGTGACTAGGTCGGGAATCGAAATACACTAGACTGTTTGCAAGAACCCTGGAAGTGTGAGTCCAGGCACCAGCCACTGAGCGAAGAGCCATACATTCTGTGTTGGCAGAGATTCCACAGATCGAGGATTTAAAGCTGGAACAAAGAGAATGTTTGGTGAATTTTATTAAGGGGAAAGGCATTATTGCCCTTCTTCCAAAGGGATTTGGGAGTTATCCCCGTTAGCAGCGCATTACATACATCACAACCAAATAGCAGCAACTGGTTACATTTTAAAAAGTAATCGCCTACAGTCCAGCAAATGAATCCTAATGCTGCAAAGTCAGACGGTTTCCATAAAGTGAAACCGGCTAATGAATCAGGTTATAATGCTGCTACCTCAAAAACATGCCTGAAGTTATGTTTATAAGTTTTCTATACCTCTAAAGCTCAAAATTCTTTCCACCTTGTGACGTGATGTAGTGGTAGTTTTCAGTTAACAGCTACCTTTTACTTTTAGTTCAATAGAGACTGGTAATTCCAGCGTTGAAATTATCCAAATTCTAGTGAAAGTGCACAGAGTTTAAAACACACACTTCCAGCACTTTGTGTATTACCACTGACATC